CGGTCTGCCCAGCACCCTGGTGCCGAAGCACCTGTATGTCCTGCTGGCATTAGCTTCCTCATGACTAGGGAAGTGTTCAGATTTCATTGATCAAGGCAGGCCTGGCTAGTTGATCATAGATTGTGTCAGAATGCAGCCTATCACAAGAGTCCCTGCACTAGGGGGAGGGATTTGCTTGGCACCCCGTATCACAGCACAGCGCCTGGGCCGTGGACCCCAACAATGGCCATCGCCTGTCCACCCGCAGAGTGCTGCCAGCACTGTGGGCGACTGCTCAGGAGATGGCAGGTGCCAGATTGGGAAGCTGGGTCATCAGGATGGCTCATTGTCTCTTTTATGTCACCCTCCCACAGTCTCATGCCTGTCCAGCAGGATCTGTCACTCTTACTGACCCACCGTGAATGGACATATTCGCCTGAAGCAGTTCCAGTTTAGAGCCCCAGTTTAGAGCTGATGACTCAGTGAACAGCTCCATAGGTCTGGACCTGCTGGGTGCCAGAGGAAAGTTACCTGACTCCTAACTACTTCCCACAGCAGCTCATACTGGATCCCCCTCCCCTCCCGGCTTAGTGCAGTCCTGGCACAGAGCTCCAGGGAGGTCAAGGTGCTTCCCACTCTTGTCCCCTGTCCACAGAACTCCATGCCTCCCACTGCAATTTGCACCAACTCGGGCAGGTCCCTGTCTGAGTGGGTGTGGAGGTCAGTGGGGAGGCAAGTTCTAATGTGGGTCTGATCCCACTTCACTTGCTGGCCTGGCGGGCTAGAGCCCTCCCACTCTCTGTGCTCTATTGTTTGTTTTGCACTCTCCAGAGATCACAATCTTATCTCCTGTTCACCTTGTTTGGTCCTGTTTTGTGTATCAGGGCTGGATCTCCACCAATTCACAGTGCTGTTCTTGTGGGGGAGAGATCCACTCACGTGTAGGAGACCGAGATCTATGCCCCTTTCTCTGGGAGCAGTAATCCTGGAGGTTTCTTTTATTCCACCCCTTTTTCTTTCGAAAGGTAACTTTTAAAATATTAGTTTCAAGAAATATTAATATAGTGTATAACTGGAATAGAAAATACTAGTTTTCTTTGGAAACTGACAACTATCTCTAGGAGGAAGAAGTACATATTCCTTCCCTCCAGGTCCCAGAGTGAAACCTCCCTCCTGGGTAACATCAGCAGCGAGGATCCATCACCTGAGCTTCTGGATTCTCAGAGTGAAGACTGTGAGCAAAGGCGGAATTTCCCTGCAGACTCATGACTTAAAGCACCTTATTTGGGCTCAATCATCCTCCCTTCCAGGACAGAAGAGAAGTTCCCAATGTTAGTCACGGAGGTCCTGCCCACAGCACCTTTCCTGCATGTCCCTGTCCCTGTTCTCAGCGTCCCGCAAGGCAGGCGCAGGCGTGGGGAGGCCGAGGCCCAGGGAGCCAGAGGCGCCTGCAGCTGCCGCAGCCACACTGCGGGAAGCGGGGTGGGCCCTCGTCTCTGGCAGGCGCTGCCTGGGCTCTGTCCAGCCTGGGAA